TAACAGAACTTGGAAATTGGTGGCCCACGCTGGATCTGACCTGAAGACGTTTGTTTGTCCTACACAGTGTTTTAAATGTATATATTAAAGTGTTACAATCTAAAATTTGGGAGATTTCACACAAAAATCTAGGTTCTCTTTTCTTGTGAAAAATTGATATACTTGACAATTCTTTGTCCACATTTGCAAATAATAGTCTGCTGGAGTTGAGTGGCAGCTGCTACCCAACTACTTCCTATTGTCTTGAATTTACCTCTCTGGCCTCTGAAAGTATTTGAGTTTTCGACATTTGGTTTATTCTTTACGCAGTACAGGAACATCAGCATTATTGCATTAAGCATCGTTGGCGCTATAGAAGAATTAAATGAGAGAAGTGACTTGTCGTGTTTGCCCTGTAAGAAAAGAAAATTGTTTTTGTATAGCAAAAGTACATGTATTACTTACATTTTGCCTGCCCTTGAACTGGACAATTAGTTCTTAAGCGCTGACCATCAGTTTATCATGGCTATTGCAAAATGGCTTCTGAGTTAGAACTAAACACAATGATTTTAATTCTTTCTCTGAAAGGTTCTGATTACCAGACACTCAAAAAATATAGGAGCTAGGTTTTTGAGGGGTAGTCAACAAAGAAGTAAACACTACCAGTTGTCTGTGGCTCCCCTTCTCTCACCTTAGTCTCAGAGGAGGATTCTCCCACGGTCTGGGCATTCTCCCTCTCAGGATAGAGGAAATTTTGGAAAGTACTGTGCCATTTGCTCTCCAACAAGTTCCTGTTAGGTGGCAAAGGGTCAGGCATCATTCAAATAAGAGAGATACAGTATACCACCTGTGGCAGCCCTGTCTTTGCTCAGCCACATTGCCCCATCAGGGCAGGGTGAACTTTCCACTGGCCCAACATCCTCCAAAGCTACCATCTAATTGTTGGGTGTGGGTTCTGTATGTGCCCTTTAAATAGGACTTACTAATTGTGGTGCTCTAATCAAATCTTATATTTACTTACTAATTTGCTTGACCTTTCATTTACTAAGAAAGATGTATTGATATTTCTCAATATTACCATGGAATCGTATGTTTCTCCTTGTAGTTTTGTCGCTTTTTGCTTTATATATTTTAAGGTGATTTTATGCCGTGTATGCAGTGCTCAACAATGCATTTTAAAGTATGTTTGTTGCAGTTTATCCAGAACTTGAATGTGTTGTGGCAGGAGATATTTAGTTGGCCATACTGCTGAAAGAAGTCCTATTCCTTCTTATCTTCCAGAAATTTCTGAAAGTTGATAGTTCACTAATGAGAACTTCCCTTGGGTTTTTTTTTTTTAATGCAGCTATCGATTTTTTTTTTTTTTAATTTTAAAAGCTTTTCTCTCATTTCAGTGCCATCTGGAAAGGAAGGAGATGCTAATAATATATAGTAGCAGTCCCCAGCCTTTTTGGCACCAGGGACCAGTTTCATCGAGGGGGTGGGGGAGCCAGAGCTCAGGCAGTGATGCCTGCTATGGGTAGCAGCTGTAAATACAGATGAAGCTTAGCTGGCCCACCGCTCACCGCCTGCTGTGTGCCACCACCCCCAACCCCCGCTTGCTAAGTTTCATGGAAGATAATTTTTCCACGGGTGGGGTGGGGGGGTGAGGGTTGGGGGGTGTGGTGCAGAACTCTGCAGCCAGATCCCTAACAGGCCACGGACCGCAGCTATGTGGATTCAGCTCACTCCCCTTGAATCAGAATTTTCTTCTCTTATGCTACATGTTTTCTTTAGGTGATTTCAATCAGTTATTTCAGTGACCATTCTTATACTGATGACTTTCTAATTCATATCCTTAACCTAAGGTCTCTCACCTGCATAGCTCTGTTTATTTAACCTCCTAGTAGTAGATATTCACACTCAGATGTCCCATGGGCTCTTCAGACTGTCCATTAATTAGTGAATGGATAAACAGATACTACTCAGCAATTAAAAGGAACTAACTACTGATATGTGGAATAATGTGGATGAATCCCAAAATAATAATGTTGATTGAAAGAAGCCAGACAAAAAAGAAAACATATTATGTGATTCCACTTACACAGAATTACTAGTAGAAAATACTACTCTGTAATGACAGAAAGCAGATCGGTGGTTGCCAGCGGGTGAGAGGTTACTGAGGAAATGAAGAAGAGGATGGAAGAGAGGGAGGAATTACAAAGAGGCAAGAGGAAACTTTTGGTGGTGATGGGTATTACCTTAATTGTGGTAATGATTTCAAAACTTGTCAAAATGTACATTTTGTACATATTCAGTTTGGTGGATATCAAAAAAGCCCTTAGTACTAAAAGGCTTTTATAGAAACACAATAGGCCTTGCCCACCCTGCATCCCCTTCCCAGTCCTGCTCCTCTGAGGCAGCCACTTTGAACTCTTTTAGGTGTTCTTTTGGTACGTATGTAAGCCATACTCTAAGCCATGCTTACTCTGTCATTTATTGATGCATCAATTTGAACTTCAGGCAGTATCTGTTTAGTTTTTCCTGTTATCCTGGTAGTTGATCATTCATTTCTCTTATTCTGCCACTTTTACTTCTCCTCCTAACCTCCTAATACGATTTTTGGTTAAATCAATAGTCAATGCTAGCATTGCTAGGATTATTAAATATTGTTCACTGCTGAGTGGTGTACTTTGATTATATTTGTTTCTATAATACCTTCCCCCCAACAGTTAGTGCAGTAATTGCATTTTCCCCATTTGCTTTGTTTTTTATGTACCTATAGCTTTTTTCAGATGTGCTAACAGACTTTTCAGGCACCTAGCAGCAATTTTCCCAGATGATCAAAGTATCATATAATCTGTATGTTCCAATCCCCCACTTCCATCTCCTGGAGACCTCTTTCAGCCATTTGTCCTTCTATCAAGTATGTTCTGATTGCTTTCTAAACTAGATTCTTAGTTGTCATGCTGAGGATTTCTCTTGCATTCTCCAATGTTGAAGCAACTAATTCCATTGTCCCATATCATTACCCTTTCTGGCTTATTCATATATTCCTTCAGTATATTTCAGGAATACTATATCTTCTAGTTGCTTCCTAAAAAGAGATGCTCGAAAGTTAAACTTTTTTATTCCTTACAGGGCCCAAAATGTCATTATTTTACCCTCAATTAAATATTTGGCTGGGTATAGAATTCTAGGTTGAAAGTAATTTTCCTTCATTAGCTGGGTGTGGTGGTGGGTGCCTGTAGTCCTAGCTACTAGGGAGGCTGAGTCAGGAGGATGGCTTCTCTTGAGCCCAGCATTTCAAGGTTGCATTGAGCTATGATCATGTCACTGTACTTTTCCAGCCTGGGTGACAGAGACTCTAAAAAATAAAAAAAATAAAAAAAAAAAATTATCCTTCAGAATTTTATAGTTATTTCTTCATTGTCTTCTAGCATCTGATATTATCACATATTCAGAATGTAATATCTTTGCATATGTCCAGAGTTTTTTTCCCCCTCTGGAAACATTTATGTTAGCACTCTGAAATTTTTTATTGACACGACATGTCATTGTTTATTCATTGTTCTGGGAGCCATTCATTTATTCTATAAATATTTATAGAGAAATCGCTATGTAGCAGACACTGTTTTAGACACTGGAGATATAACAGTAAATAAAATAGACAAAGTCCCTTCCCTCATGGAATTTACATTCTAGTGGTAAAGACAGAAATTAAATAAACTAATGTATAATGAAATGTCAGATAGTGATAAGGGCTTAAAAGAAATATAAACCAGAGTAAAGGGAGAAAGAATGACAGGATAATTTTTGGACAGGGTGGGCAGAGACTGCCTCTCTGAGGTGACAGTTGAATGGAGACACAAGTAAATGAGGACATAAGCCATGTGGCTGTCTGGGAGAAAAGCTGAGGGGAACAGAAAATGCAAAGATTCTGAGACAGAAACATATGTGGAATGATGAGAAGCAAAAGTCCCCTTTAGTGGCAATGGAGTGAAAAAGAGAAAGAGTGGTAGGAAATGAAATTGGAGATATAGTCAGGGGCTAAGAAATTTAAGGCCTCCCAGAAGTTGGTAAAGACTTTGGAATTTATTTTATTGAAGTCTTTGAACAAGGACAAACTTACTGGGGAGAGTATAGATTGATACGGAAAATTAACTGTAAGATCAGCAAGAGTGGGAAATAGGAAGACCCGTTAGGAGACCGTTTCCGTAGTCTAGGTGAGAGGTACAGTGGCTTAGACTGAGTGGTAATAGTGGGAAATGGTCAGATTTGGAATATATTTTGAAGGGAAAGCCAACAGGATTTCCTAATGGATTGGAAATGGGGTGGAAGAGGAAAGGAGTAAAGAATGAATCTTAAGATTCTTGTCCTGAGTGACTTGATGAGGATGGCATCACTTACTGAGATGGGGGAGACTGAGGGAGTGTTTGGGGATAGGGATGCAGTGGAACTGAGTTGTGTTTTGGATACGTTGATTTGAGATGCCAGGAAGCAGATGTTCATTCAAGTCTAGGGGTCACTGGAGCATTGGGGTCAGACAAGTTTCCTCTGAGCAGTGAGTGTTGATAGAGGAGAGGTCTGGGGCCTGAGCTCTAAAGCATTTCAATACTTAGAATTGGGAAATGGAAGAGCATCAGAAAAGGAACAGCTGGTGAGATAGATAGAAATCTGGGAGAATTCATGTCCTAGAAGACAAGTGAAAAAAATACCTCAAGAGGAAGATAGGATCCACTGTGTCAGTTGTTTTGTTAAAAGCTGAGTAGAAGGAAGACTTAGAATATACCATCAGATGTGACAGTGTGGAGTTTATCGGTGACTCTGACAAGTTGTTTCACTGGAGTAATCCATGGCTCCTGGAAAAATGTATAATTGAATAAAATAATGGTATTCCACTGTGTATGAAGGGTTCATTATTAGTCTGATAGAGGGAGATTTAAAGATTCTTTTAGAGTATAATAGCATTAAGTGAATTAATTTTCTTCATTTGTTATTAAAATGTTTTCTAACCTTATCTTTCTGTTTTTTCTTAATAGCATTTTCTTCCTCTTGCGAATCTGGAATGTTCACCAAATGTTGAAACTTTCCTTTGCAAAGCTTTTGTACCAGCCTGCACAGAGCAAATTCATGTGGTTCAACCTTGTCGTAAATTTTGTGAGAAAGTATATTCTGATTGCAAGAAAATAATTGACACTTTTGGGATCCGATGGCCTGAGGAACTTGAATGTGACAGGTATGTTATGTTTTTCACAGAAAGCTACTCGTGGTATTTTAATATTGGCATTAGGTCTTCAGAATATTAGCAACAGGCTTTCATTATTTAATTCAGTAAATTTTTATTGCATACTTAATATGTGCTGGGCATTGTGGTGGTAAATTATTACAGACAGAGGTGAGCAAAAAAGAGACTTGATTCTTGCTCTCAGGGAACTTGCAGTAAGGTGGGACAGACAGCTACTCATCAAATAAATGCGAAATTACCACTGTGGTAGATACAACAAAGGGGAAGTACGGTGCTTTTGACCTAAACTGGGGGAAAGGGAAGGAAATGGCTATTGAGCTAAAGTATGAAGGGTAAGACAGAGGTAATTAGGCAAGGAGAGGAGGGAAGGACATTTTGGGTAGTGGGAATAGCTTGTTTGGAGAAATTGTGACATGAGGGCACTTGGCACATTCACGGAATTAAAAAGCCCGTGTGGCTGGATTGATGAGAGTTAGAAAGAATGTGGTAAGATAAGAAAGGAGAGAGAAGCAGCAGACCATTCAGGGCTCATCTTGCATGTTTTTATGCTAAAAGCAATGAGAAGGTCTTCAGGTATTTTAAGATAGGAATGGGTGGCATGATCCTGTCAGCTTCTGTATGGAGCTTGGCACTCGTGTCACGGTCTATTGAGGGGGGCGGTGCTCCTTGGAAGTTCCTTTTAGGAATCCAGGCTGCTTCCGTTGCGCAACTCTGACAGCCGTGTAGATGGCGGGGAGAGATGGTAGAGAACCCACACCTTTTCTTGACTACCTCAAACTGGAAGTATCATACCTTTTCCATTTTCATTTCTGTTGGCAAGATGTCAGTTATGTGGTCACAGTGGAACTAAGAGAGAAAATGGGAAATGTGTGTCCAAAAGAGATGTGTGTCAAGACAGAGAATGTGTCAGGTGCTGCCAGTCGGAAAGAACATCTCATACAGTGTCACTGGAGTGATTGAGGCAAAGGACAGATTGGTAAAGGAGTTAGGTGGAAATTGAAGCAAGACACATAGAGTGTTCTCAGGAAATTTGGCTATAGAGGAGGAAAGTTTACGAGTTTAATGGGAAAGAACTGAATACTTTTTAAACTCCTAGGAAAAAGGAAGAGGCAAGCATTTATGAGGTAGAAGAGAAATAATCAAAGGAAGTTTTCTGAGAAAGAGGTAGGATCCCAAGCACAGATAAAATGTTGGCTGTGGGTAGGAGGAGCCTCCATTATTAGAGTGGGAAAGAGGATGGGATTGCTGTGGATGTAGGTGGGTTTGTATGTTTGGTAATGGTTGTTGCAAGAATTTCTGTCTGATGGTTTCTGTTTCCTTTGTGAGGTAGTAAGAGTCAAGGTCCTCTGGTGAGAGTCTGGGAGCAAGGGTGTAAGTTTGAGAGAAGTGGTAGTTATGGAGAGTGAGTAGACTGGAGAGGCTTCGTAACATATTAGGTAAATCGCGTGAGCCTGAATCGGTAGTGGATCTCATGTGACCCATTGGGACCTTCTCCAGCAGTGGTGGGATGCTTAGGGCTAGGCAGAGAAAGCAGATCTTTGCATCTGTGTTTGGGGTTTTGTCAGATAGATTCAGTCCAAATATAAAGGAGCAGTAAAAAAATGAAGGGTAATGACAAGAAGAGTGTTACTGAAACAATAGCCTATGGAAGTCTAAATGGATGAGGACTAAAATGAAGAAAGGAAAGGACTAGTATATGGAGATAAGCTGGAAGAGATCTCAATGAGGTTTTAAAAAAAGGCATAGGCCAGGAGGCACAGTGGCTCAAATCTATAATTCCAGCACTTTGGGAAGCCAAAGCAGGAGGTTCCCTTGAGCCCAGGAGTTTGAGACCAGCCTGGGCAACATAACAAGACCCTGTCTCTTAAAAAAAAAAAAAAAAAAAAAAATAGGTATGGTGGAGCATGCCTGTAGTCTCAGCTACTCAGGAGGCGGAGGCACAGGGATCACTTGAGCTCAGGAGTTCATGATTACAGCAAGCTTTGATTGGGCCACTGCACTGTAGCCTGGTCAATAGAGCAAGACCCTGTCTCTTTAAAAAAAAAAAGGCATAGTGAGAATGTTTTAATAAATGAGCTGCAAAGACAGGAATTTGCAGACCAAGGGCAAAATGCTTGAGTTGATTTTTCTTTTCTTTTTTTTTTTTTTTTAATGCCCAGGCTGGTCTCAAGTAATCTTCCTACCTCAGCCTCCCAACATGCTGGGATTACAGGCATGAGCCTCTGCACCCGGCCCTGAGTTGATTGTTGTACATTTACAGGTTGTGGCAGTGTTACAGGTGACCAAAGTATGTGGAGGATAGTCATTGGAGATGAGGAGGTTATGGAGCTGAGAAGCCAGAGTATCAATGGCTTGTCCTTGGCCAAGTCACCAAGGAAGGTGACAGCAAAAACTGGTGACCCATTCAACAAATTTTTATTGCACTCTTACCATGTGCCAGGACTGTTCTAGGCACTAGAGCTGTAACAGGCGAAAATTCCTGCTTCTGTGGATCTTATGGTGGAGAGAGAGAGAAGATGAAATAAATAAGTTATATTTGTATTAGAAGATGATAAGACCTGTGGAGAAAATACTTGCTCTTTCTTATGGGATTGCCTACTAGGTTTCAGAGTAGAGGAGGTTATAACTCACAAAAATTTATACTGGCAACTGTGCAGTAATTCTCAACACTTTTGGTGTTTGATCTTTGTAGTTTGATTTTTTTGAGAAACTAATACTTTTTTATAATTAAACCAAATCAGATTTATTTTATGTTTGAGAATGCTCAATACATTGAATTGGGGTGTAGAATCTATTGTTTTAAATCATTTAAGCCATATATTAAACTGAATCCCACTGATATAAAGCAAATTCATAAACATCCCTTTGTAAAATGTTAATTGACTCAATTGCACATAAGAATAATTCTGGGCCAGGTATGGTGGTGCATGCGTGTAGTCCCAGCTACTCAAGAGGCTGAGGAGGGAGGATTGCTTGAGCTCAGATTTTGAGGTCAACCCAGGCAACATAGTGAGACACCATCTTTAAAAAATAATAATAATTCTGGTGTGTTCTATACCAGATAAATTTTCTTTATGGCATCTTATTTACTTTGAAAACACACACAAAGTGGCAAACACAAATTCTAGTTTGTCAAAAGGTTTCTAGCATAATGAAAGGTTTAATATGTTTAGCTTTGTGGTAAAAGCATGAAGGCAGCTTATATTATTTGAGAAATGGCAGTGTGGTTATGGTGTGGTTATGGCATACATTAGGGCAGCTCTTGGTTACCCAGGAAAATGACTTTGCCATTCCACTGCCTTTGCCTTGAAAGTAAGGTAGAAAGGTGCATTCGTTCTTTGAGGCCTCTAAGTTCCTCAGCTTGTCAGAGCACAGGCACACTTCTGTAGGTGAGGAGTTTTGTGGGAAGCCCGGCTTTCTTCTCAGCTCTGGCTCCAGCCATCCTCTGGTAGTTTGCCAATAGATTAATCCCTCTCATAATGACCAGTTGCACTTCTTCCCTTTCCGTTTCTCACTCTTCTTTTCCCACGGCAGTGCCTATCCACCATGCCACCTGAGCATCTGTGGAATCTTACCGTCTTCTGTTATACTGTTTTTCTTTTACTCATTTTCTTGTCTTTATTGTGATAGTCCAACTTTTTCCCTTCAAAGGTATACCTGCCTTGCTTTCATGAAAGCATACTTTTTAAATAATTAAGCCAAATTTATTTCATGTTTGAGATTGCTCGATACATTGAATTGGGAAGTAGAATCTTTTTCAAAATTATTTAAGCCCTGTATTAAATTTGTATCCCTGTATAAAACTGACGTGATTTATCATAAGGCCTTTCCACACCTCGCCCTCTCAACTGTGACGGATTTTTACATTAATAAGTGCAGTTCAAAATGAAAATGATGCAAAAGTGCTTAACAGATATTTTTATAACATCAGATATTCTGTGGTAAGGCCAAAATGCTAATTACACTTTTTACATATACCTTCAGACCAGTGTTAGTGTAATGTTTTGGCAAGGTGAATGGTCTTTATCGGATATAAGAATCCCAGGTTGTAAGCTAGGCTCAGTGGCACATGCCTGTGGATCCAGCTACTCAGGAGGCTCTCTTGAGCCCAGGAGTTTGAGACTAGCCCAAGTAACATAGGGAGACCCCCATCTCCAAAGGGGAAAAGATAAGGCTCAGGCATATACTTATTTTCTCTTAAAAGAAGTATTTTTTCCATCGGGACCTTTCTGTGATAGTGAATAAGCATGGTAAATACTGGTTGGCTTGATCATTTGCAATTACAGTATATATGGATAAAATAGGATTTTAGGCTCAGTTGACTCATGAATTAATGTTATCAATTCTCTCACCTTTTGCACATTAGTGTTAATTAATTACTTCCCCCCATATTCCCTGGATAGTGGGGGGTTGTAATTTTAAATATTCTACTGATACAGTGAGACCTCATACAGTAATGGCGAAAGGAAGCTGGCTAGCTTTTTGATTTTATAGAACCTTTTTGGAATTTACATAGTGGAGCATGCCTGTAGTCTCAGCTACTCAGGAGGCGGAGGCACAGGGATCACTTGAGCTCAGGAGTTCATGATTACAGCAAGCTTTGATTGGGCCACTGCACTGTAGCCTGGTCAATAGAGCAAGACCCTGTCTCTTTAAAAAAAAAAAGGCATAGTGAGAATGTTTTAATAAATGAGCTGCAAAGACAGGAATTTGCAGACCAAGGGCAAAATGCTTGAGTTGATTTTTCTTTTCTTTTTTTTTTTTTTTTTAATGCCCAGGCTGGTCTCAAGTAATCTTCCTACCTCAGCCTCCCAACATGCTGGGATTACAGGCATGAGCCTCTGCACCCGGCCCTGAGTTGATTGTTGTACATTTACAGGTTGTGGCAGTGTTACAGGTGACCAAAGTATGTGGAGGATAGTCATTGGAGATGAGGAGGTTATGGAGCTGAGAAGCCAGAGTATCAATGGCTTGTCCTTGGCCAAGTCACCAAGGAAGGTGACAGCAAAAACTGGTGACCCATTCAACAAATTTTTATTGCACTCTTACCATGTGCCAGGACTGTTCTAGGCACTAGAGCTGTAACAGGCGAAAATTCCTGCTTCTGTGGATCTTATGGTGGAGAGAGAGAGAAGATGAAATAAATAAGTTATATTTGTATTAGAAGATGATAAGACCTGTGGAGAAAATACTTGCTCTTTCTTATGGGATTGCCTACTATAACTCACAAAAATTTATACTGGCAACTGTGCAGTAATTCTCAACACTTTTGGTGTTTGATCTTTGTAGTTTGATTTTTTTGAGAAACTAATACTTTTTTATAATTAAACCAAATCAGATTTATTTTATGTTTGAGAATGCTCAATACATTGAATTGGGGTGTAGAATCTATTGTTTTAAATCATTTAAGCCATATATTAAACTGAATCCCACTGATATAAAGCAAATTCATAAACATCCCTTTGTAAAATGTTAATTGACTCAATTGCACATAAGAATAATTCTGGGCCAGGTATGGTGGTGCATGCGTGTAGTCCCAGCTACTCAAGAGGCTGAGGAGGGAGGATTGCTTGAGCTCAGATTTTGAGGTCAACCCAGGCAACATAGTGAGACACCATCTTTAAAAAATAATAATAATTCTGGTGTGTTCTATACCAGATAAATTTTCTTCATTTCTATAAATAAGACCTTCAGGCTTTATGGCATCTTATTTACTTTGAAAACACACACAAAGTGGCAAACACAAATTCTAGTTTGTCAAAAGGTTTCTAGCATAATGAAAGGTTTAATATGTTTAGCTTTGTGGTAAAAGCATGAAGGCAGCTTATATTATTTGAGAAATGGCAGTGTGGTTATGGTGTGGTTATGGCATACATTAGGGCAGCTCTTGGTTACCCAGGAAAATGACTTTGCCATTCCACTGCCTTTGCCTTGAAAGTAAGGTAGAAAGGTGCATTCGTTCTTTGAGGCCTCTAAGTTCCTCAGCTTGTCAGAGCACAGGCACACTTCTGTAGGTGAGGAGTTTTGTGGGAAGCCCGGCTTTCTTCTCAGCTCTGGCTCCAGCCATCCTCTGGTAGTTTGCCAATAGATTAATCCCTCTCATAATGACCAGTTGCACTTCTTCCCTTTCCGTTTCTCACTCTTCTTTTCCCACGGCAGTGCCTATCCACCATGCCACCTGAGCATCTGTGGAATCTTACCGTCTTCTGTTATACTGTTTTTCTTTTACTCATTTTCTTGTCTTTATTGTGATAGTCCAACTTTTTCCCTTCAAAGGTATACCTGCCTTGCTTTCATGAAAGCATACTTTTTAAATAATTAAGCCAAATTTATTTCATGTTTGAGATTGCTCGATACATTGAATTGGGAAGTAGAATCTTTTTCAAAATTATTTAAGCCCTGTATTAAATTTGTATCCCTGTATAAAACTGACGTGATTTATCATAAGGCCTTTCCACACCTCGCCCTCTCAACTGTGACGGATTTTTACATTAATAAGTGCAGTTCAAAATGAAAATGATGCAAAAGTGCTTAACAGATATTTTTATAACATCAGATATTCTGTGGTAAGGCCAAAATGCTAATTACACTTTTTACATATACCTTCAGACCAGTGTTAGTGTAATGTTTTGGCAAGGTGAATGGTCTTTATCGGATATAAGAATCCCAGGTTGTAAGCTAGGCTCAGTGGCACATGCCTGTGGATCCAGCTACTCAGGAGGCTCTCTTGAGCCCAGGAGTTTGAGACTAGCCCAAGTAACATAGGGAGACCCCCATCTCCAAAGGGGAAAAGATAAGGCTCAGGCATATACTTATTTTCTCTTAAAAGAAGTATTTTTTCCATTGGGACCTTTCTGTGATAGTGAATAAGCATGGTAAATACTGGTTGGCTTGATCATTTGCAATTACAGTATATATGGATAAAATAGGATTTTAGGCTCAGTTGACTCATGAATTAATGTTATCAATTCTCTCACCTTTTGCACATTAGTGTTAATTAATTACTTCCCCCCATATTCCCTGGATAGTGGGGGGTTGTAATTTTAAATATTCTACTGATACAGTGAGACCTCATACAGTAATGGCGAAAGGAAGCTGGCTAGCTTTTTGATTTTATAGAACCTTTTTGGAATTTACATACTTCTGGTAGATGCATAATCATTTTTAGGAAGAATTGATACATAATAAATTGAGTGGTATGTAATAAAGATGCAGATGCTAATACCTACATCCTACAATCCTACCCTATAATCCCTTTCTTTAGAAACTTACACAAATAAGGAGGCATGCACAAGAATATTGATTGTAGATTATTTCTAATTTTAAATAGGAAAAAGTCTAAAAGCCCATCATAGAAGGACGATTAGTAAATTGTGATATACTTACACACTGGAATACTACCGTACAGTTGATAAAATGAATGCAGTTGACCCACATCTACCAACATGGATAAATCTAAAAAACATAGTGTTGAGTTAAAAAATGAAAGTTACAGCATGATATATACAGCATGGTGTCATTTATATAAAGTTCAAAACCTGTGAAACAATGGTATGTAAGGTTATGGTTAACAAAAACCATAGTAAAAATATTTTTTAAATGCTTGAGAATAAAAACTGAATTTGTAGTAATGAATACTTCTAAGGAGAGGAAAAGGAATAAGACCAGAAAGGGATTCCAACTGTATTTGTGGTGTTCTATTGCTTTATTTTAAACGATATAAAGCAAAACTGACATAATATTATGTTTTAATAAAGCTGGTAAATATATGATTTTATATATTTCATTTTATGGATATATATTTGTCTCTATTCTTATCTAAGGTATATTTAAAATGCTTTATTAAAAACCACTACTTTATAAACTACTTAGATCCTCCAGAATAATACTGGTATATTCAAACTCAACTGAGTGATACAGTTCTGCAAAAGACAGAAACATACCTGTGTACCACTCAGGTCTATCCATAAACAAGGGAGGCAAACAGCCAAACCTAAACACAGTGGTGATGTGAGTTCAGCTGGTCCTCAGCCTACCTCTTGGGTGGTATTGTTGCCCTTCTTTAAAAACTTAAACTCTACCCTATCAATCAAGAAGGATCTCATTTCAGTCATTGTAATTGCAATCACCTTAGGCATATGTTTGATTTACTTTTCTTATGGGCATTAGAAAATAAAAGTTAACTTCTCCAAGACTTACATTTCATATACTATAAACAGACAAGCCAGCACTTTTTTTGTGTGTAGCCTACCAATTAAGATAAATTCATTCTTAAATATTGAGTCTTAAAAGTAGAAATTATTCTGAAATTATTAATTGACTGTTTTCCAAATAAGTGAATTTTCATGTTTAACTGCCTTGTATTTAACATATATTATTGTGTCAGGGCTCATTAACAGCTACAAGTTTTTAGTCAACTTCAAAAATTTCTACTCAACTGGAACCTGTAATCCATTTAGGTTTGTATGTCTTTCCATCAGGTATGAATGCATAAGGTAATATTTTATAGTTGGAAAGCATAGCATTAAAATAGTGAACCAATAAAAGTGTTGACTTCATATATTTTTTATAATCTTTACAGATTAAAAAACTGTGATGAGTCTGTTCCTGTAACTTTTGATCCACACACAGAGTTTCTTGGTCCTCAGAAGAAAACAGAACAAGTCCAAAGAGACATTGGATTTTGGTGTCCAAGGCATCTAAAGACTTCTGGGGGACAAGGCTATAAGTTTCTGGGAATTGATCAATGTGCACCTCCATGCCCCAACATGTATTTTAGAAGTGATGAGCTAGAGTTTGCAAAAAGTTTTATTGGAATAGTTTCAATATTTTGTCTTTGTGCAACTCTGTTCACATTCCTTACTTTTTTAATTGATGTTAAAAGATTCAGATACCCAGAGAGACCGATTATATATTACTCTGTCTGTTACAGCATTGTATCACTTATGTACTTTATTGGATTTTTGCTAGGCAATAGCACAGCCTGCAATAAGGCAGATGATAAGCTAGAACTTGGTGACACAGTTGTTCTAGGTTCTCAAAATAAGGCTTGCACTGTTTTGTTTATGTTTTTGTATTTTTTCACAATGGCTGGCACTGTGTGGTGGGTGATTCTTACCATTACGTGGTTCTTAGCTGCAGGAAGAAAATGGAGTTGTGAAGCCATTGAACAAAAAGCAGTGTGGTTTCATGCTGTGGCATGGGGAATACCAGGCTTTCTGACGGTTATGCTTCTTGCTATGAACAAAGTTGAAGGAGACAACATTAGTGGAGTTTGCTTTGTCGGCCTTTATGACCTAGATGCTTCTCGCTACTTTGTACTCTTGCCACTGTGCCTCTGTGTGTTTGTTGGGCTGTCTCTTCTTTTAGCAGGCATTATTTCCTTAAATCACGTTCGACAAGTGATACAACATGATGGCCGGAACCAAGAAAAACTAAAGAAATTTATGATTCGAATTGGAGTCTTCAGTGGCCTGTATCTCATGCCATTAGTGATACTTCTTGGATGTTACGTCTATGAGCAAGTGAACAGGATTACCTGGGAGATAACGTGGGTCTCTGATCATTGTCGTCAGTACCATATCCCATGTCCTTATCAGGTAAAAGCTATCATTTGGATTATGTCACTACTTTTAACGTAGAAAACGTTTCCTAGAAATATACTTGCATTAGTCATAGACATAAAATTAGATTTCAGGGGAGAAAATCCGACAGACATAGGGAATGATTTCCTACACATCAGTTGAAACTGGGGTAAATGTCCCAAGAGTTCTTTCCTCAAGCTTTAGCTTCAGTTACAATAGTAAAGTGCCTCCTTTATTCTTACAGAAATTAAATTGAGTTGCAAAGGCAGATTAATAGTAATGAAGAGCAGAGTCAAAAGAACAGGCCTTCTCATAGGGAGAAAAAGAGAAGTAATTTCTGCTGAATTGGGGATTGTTTTTTATTTCTTCAATTAGTAGGAAAAAAACGTTAGTTGGGTACATTTAATTTGATCATATTATAACTTTTCGTATAAACTATACTTATAAAAATAGAATTTGATTCTTTGTGAACTCATCCTGTAATTTCTTAACTGAAAAAGAGACTATTGAAACAAAATATGGTTTTTTTGTTTCTGATGCTTATGATCAATATAATGGTAGTGTTTTTAAGATTAAAAAAATGTAAACTTCTGAAAATATAAAATTTAAAGCATTTTAGTTGAAGATTTTTTAATAGGAAGTTTGTTTTATTTTAATAGATGTATACACTATTCTTGACTACAGAATAGTATTAACTGTGTGGAACATGAGTGCTACCATCAAATCAGTGTATCAAATCAAGCAAGTGAGGACTGAACTATTTTACATAATTTATATTCTAGAAATTACTGCTATATAACATGGTGGGACCTCTTTTTTATACTGATATGTGGGGATAATAGTTTTACTTGTCTTACACGTTGTCCATAGTCTTTTATCCATATTTTACTAAACACTTAATAAAGAAGCTGCGTCTTAACGTGATCCTGTTTTATTAAATGTCTCCTAGAGTCGTCCTCAGTCTTTTTGGCAACAGGGCGGGGAACAACTATTACATACTGCTAAAAAGCTAAAGATCTGTGGTTTTTAGAAATTATGTTTCATGTAATCATGTAAGAAACTATAAAATATTAGAAGATAGAATGAGGAAATTATAATCTTCAAGTAAAGAAGGACTTCATAAGTATGATATAAAATTCAGTAAATATAAAAGAAAATATTGCTAATTTGATTAAGTAAAAAATTTTTTCAAGATTCTGCATGGTAAAGAAAAACCCATAATCAAAGTCAAAAGACCAACTGAGAAAGTTTATTTGCATGTCACATTGTAGTTCAAGGGCTAATTTTTTAATTTATAAAGAGTTCCTATAGACCAATAGGAACAAAACCAACAATCTGATATAAAAATGAGAAAGGAAAGAAAGAGTTCACAGAAAATAAAAATGAAAGAACTATTCTTAAACGTGGAAAATGTTACAGTAAGAAAATATAAATTAAAATTATATTTCTGTTTATGACATGGCAAACATCTGAAGGTTTTATAACCACTGCGTTGGTGAAACTGGCCAAATACACATTTCCAGACTTTGCTATTAAGAGTTTCAATTAGTTCAACCTGTTGTGGAAAGCAATTTGACAATACATATCAGATTTAAAATACACATACCTATTGATCCTGCCCTTCTGGGAATTTATAGACAGATCTGCTCACAAATGTGATAAAGATAGTCACTGCAGCATTATTTGCAAATGGCAATAGGTTGGAAGTAAATCTATTAATAGGGGTAGTTGAATAACTTACAGTTCATCCACACAATGGAACAGCCTTTAAAAAGAATGAAGAGCTCTATTTGTACTGATAGAGAATGGTCTCCAAGAAACAGTAAGTGCAAAAAGCAAGATATGCAGAATATATAATATTTTGACACTTGTGCAACTTTTAAAGATAGTTATTTGAAAGTTTATGCTTAAAAGTATAATTTTTATAAAATTTCTACATTTTCACATTTTACTGATATTTATTTTACTATAACCAGCCAAGTTTTTATAACATATAAACATTAACAGTGCATAAAGACCGTAAAATATGTGTTGCTGTTAGGAGTTTAAATGTATTTTTGTGGTAGATTATAGGGAAGGAAAATAGGTAAATATTTGGAAGCAAATATTTTATTAATACCAGTTGTTAGAGGCTACTGTACCTATAGGGAAAAAGAAATCATGAAGATTTAGGAGATTGTTTCTAAATATATTTAATAGTTCAGTATTTTCCCTTTCTAGACATTTGATACACGGATAAAGTTTCTTTGTTTAGAACTTAGGTAAAAAATATGTTGCACTTAAAGCAATATTCATTTTATTATGTTATTTCAAACCTTTTATGATAAAAGTTGAAGATTAATCATTTTTGCTCAAATTTTATGTACACAATACAGACTTTTCTCTCCATTTAAATGTATCACTGAAAATTCACTCTTTCTTTGTAGGCAAAAACAGATGCTCGACCAGAATTGGCTTTATTTATGATAAAATACCTTATGACTTTAATTGTTGGCATCTCTGCTGTCTTCTGGGTTGGAAGCAAAAAGACATGCACAGAATGGGCTGGGTTTTTTAAACGAAATCGCAAGAGAGAGTAAGAACCTATTGAATTATCTCACATTGTTTTGAAATAAATAGATCAAAATACCAAGCAACTATTCAAATCATCACTGTACTGGAGTTTCATTATATCAACTATTATTTCGATTTGATGAGCCAAGTGAAGTTTGGAAATCTTTTTATGAAAGACACTTGCTTTATTTTGGCATTTGCTATAATAGTCTTTGATGTATACTATTCGACGTATACTATTCTATTTGAAATAAGAATGAAAGATATATGAAATGCACATTTTATTTCCATGATTTATTATATATCCAATATTATTACTGTTACCATTGGATTCATTATTTTGGGTGCAGCATTTTTAATAATTTTATCCTTTTTTATCAATGATAAAAGATGAAATGAGATCAAATATATGTAAGGAAATCTAGAAGTGTGATTCAAATATAAGTGATCTGTTATCATTATTAACTATGTTTAAATTTTATTACACACAGTTCTGACCTAAAATTTCACTTATTTGCCTTGCCTGAGATGGTAAACATTCAAACTTACGGAGTATTCTATAACAATAAAGATTTACATTTATGAATAATCATTTTAGTTATATATATATTGAATACAACATACTAAAACAATTTTAAAAATTGTTTCCTATTGATTTGATTAGTGAACTCTTTGTGGTACAAATTTCAGAACTGTAGACCTTTTCACAAATAAGTTGTTGAAATCTGAAGAATTGTATTTAACTAGACTTTATTTTGCACTATTATTGTGTGTCTATCCCATATTTATATACTCATGGTAACTGCTAACTTTAATGTTAGAAAAGAATTAATACATTTAAACAAAAACCATTAATTATATTCTATATTCTTTTTTTTCTGGTTTACTTTTCTGTTTGACATATTTATATGTGATACAAATATAGCTAGTCCCTTACTTTAAGCTGATTTGACTTTCCTTGTCCTTATCCTTTGATTTTTGCCTATTTAATTTATTACCAGTTTACTATTTATGCTGACAAAAGCAACTAAGAGTGTATGTATAAAAGATTTCACTTTATGGTATCTACTTGTATCATAGTATTTATAATCCCAGATTTTATAAATAATATAAATCATAGAATTTTTAACTTTAATGAATGAAGATTTTTGGCAAAAGATGTGTGATTTTTTTATGGCTTCTGCTACAATACTTAAAATTTATTAAGAATCCTCTCTTGGATTTTTTTTTACAGTCCAATCAGTGAAAGTCGAAGAGTGCTACAGGAGTCATGTGAGTTTTTCTTAAAGCACAATTCTAAAGTTAAACACAAAAAGAAGCACTGCAAACCAAGTTCACACAAGCTGAAGGTCATTTCCAAATCCATGGGAACCAGCACCGGAGCTACCACAAATCATGGCACTTCTGCAGTAGCAATCACTAACCATGATTACTTAGGACAAGAAACTTTGACAGAAATCCAAACCTCTCCAGAAACGTCAGTGAGAGAGGTGAGAGCAGACAGAGCAAGCACCCCCAAGTTAAGAGAACAGGACTGTGGTGAACCTGCCTTCCCAGCAGCATCCAGCTCCAAACTGTCTGGGGAACAGGCTGATAGGAAAGGCCAGGCAGGCAGTGTGAACGACAGGAACAGTGTGTCTGAAAGTGCTCGGAGTGAAGGAAGGTGAGATTTACCTTTGTTATCTAAAATCACTATTTTAAATACTGCACTATGCATTTCTTATTAAAGCATAACACATCTGGAAAGAAAGCATTTTATGATGTATCTATACATTTAACCCAAGGAAGTTTGGGTTCAGCCTATAAATGTGCTATTTAGTAGTTTAATTCTTAGCTTTGAAAAGAGCCTTAATATATGTTGTTCAAGTACAAAAGTATGCTCATGTCTATGGTAATTGTAAAGAGTTGCTTGTACATTTAGGTAAATGCAGTTCATCTGAAATATGGGCTAAGTTTTAATTAATACTACATTATGGTACTGTCTAAAAAGTGTTATTTTAAACAAAGATAAGTATAAAATTATTCTATTTTCTGAACACGAAAGGATATTGGCATTATCTTTAATGAATTTTCCCAGATGGTCATAGGTGACCAAAACACAGGTAAACATCCAATTAACCAGAATGCTATGAAGCTGATTACTTTAAGGTCCCAAGGCTACCTTACCTAGCCCTCTCAAACTAGGCTAAGTGCACTCTCTGTATTCTCTCGTTAGCTTTCATATATCTGGATTGTAATTAGATACATGCTTTTATCCTCCACTACATTTGTAAACTCCTCAGAGATCGGAGCTGAAGTCTTACATTGTGTTCCCAACCTCTTACACAGTGTCTGATCCATGGTAGGAAATCAATAAAATATTTGCTAAACTGAGGGCAGGAATCCTGCCTTATTAATTGTATTCCTCACAAGATACCATGCTTAGCCCCAAAATGGGTAGTGCTTGATGAATTTTCTGAAGTCAGCAAAAATTGTGTTACAAAAAATTGTCTTCGGAGTGTTAAAGTATACCAAAAGAGTTTTACTTAATTATTCTCTTCTGATAAGGGTGGACACTGGTTGGGGGTAAAACTCATGAAAAATGGGTACCAATTCTAAGGACATCTGGCATCATTTGTGCTTGTGGATGTATGTACATCAACTTTTTTTCTTTTACCTAGGGTAAGTCCAAAGAGTGATACTGCTGAAACTGGCCTGGTGCAGAACAACAACTTGCAGGTCCCCAGTTCTTCAGAGCCAAGCAGCCTCAAAGGTTCCACATCTCTACTTGTCCACTCAATTTCAGGAGTGAGAAAAGAACAGGGAGGTGGTAGTCATTCAGATACTTGAAAAACATTTTATCCTGTTACTTAGAATCAAATCTGCATTACACTGGAGATGACCAATGCACTGTTTTATAAGAATCACTGTTACCTTCTTTTGCACTTAAAGCTGCATTGCCTACTATTATACTGGAAAAAATAGATTTCATGAATAATACAATTCATTTCACACAAAGGTTAATGACAGCAGCATACCTGAAAACAGAAATGTGTAGGTTAATAATATTTTTTAAATTGTGTGGGAGGAGACACTTAGAGGAATCTTCCTTCTCTATTTATGAAGATTCTACTCTTGTTAAAAGTATTTTGAGATATACTATACTATTTTACTTTTTTGATATAAAATCAAGATTTTTCTTTGAAGTATTTAAAACATCATTATATCTTTTTATATATATTTGAAAATAAGCTTATATGTATTTGAACTTTTTTGGGAAATCCTGGAAAATCTCAAATATTTTTATTATGTTACTCTGATATTTTAGCCTGCTTTGGTAGCTTTCACACTGAATTTCTAAGAAAATTGGAAAATCGTATTCTTTTACAGTATAAAAAATATTTGACACACCAAAACATTGTATAATAGAAATTCAACTTTAAAAACCTTCTTACTCCTACCTTACCGTCCAACATGTGTGAATTTTATAAAGTCTTACTGTTTTAGGAATTTCACAGATTATGCGGCTGAAATAAGGTGCTTACTGGAAGTGTCCAATATTGATTGTATTGTGCTGCTCACTGATTCTTCTGCATTTTAAAAATAGAATGTCCTGAAGGATTAGTAGATGAAATGTTAGTCTTTTGTAAATTAAGCCAAGTGCAATTGATTTCCTTTTTTTAATGTTTCATAACCACCCAAGATTGTATTGTAACCACTTACAGTTGATTACACTTTCCCTTTGTTTTGACTTTTGTTTTTTTAGAATACTACAACACTTTGTATTGTACAGTATCTTTCTCAAACATTATGTAGAATTTATTTCTGCAGCTTAGTAGGATTTTGCTGAACATTCAAAAGTATGATGGCAATATTAGTGCCAATGAAATAGAAAAAAATGTAGTCTTGATAAACAAAACAATATATATTTTTTACAACATACTTTTAAATATTAACGAATTTTCTTAATTTTGTTTCCCATTAAGTATTATTCCTTGAACAAGGTTTTCTAACACTTTGGGCTTTTTCTCTATTTAGTATCTTGCTTCCCCCCCCCCCACTATCTGTTACAGCATAAAAAGAAAATTATCATGTACTGTATGGAAAATGTTGTAAATATTAACTTTTCCACATTTTTAAGCAGATAACTTTATATACAAAAATGTTTTGTGTTATCTTTTTATTAATAAAATTTTCTTTGTATAAAAGATTTTGGAGTATTATATGGTTAGTTATAGTAGTCCTGGCACAAGAAGTAGTATAATTTTTCAGACAAGTAATTTCATGACTAATCAGTCGGGAGCTTCTCTTTAACTGGGGAAAGGGAAGACAGGACTCTGTTTTTTGTCACAGTGTCTTCTCAAAAGTGTAAATTATACAGCCATATTTATTGTACCTTTTTAAAGCCACTGGAAGACCTGGGGTTTGGGGGGGTGGATGATAAAGCAGGATCCTGGGTTCCCTTTGCTTCTACTCCTGGCAGTGGATTAGGTAATTTAGACAAACCTCCCAAAAAATTAAACTGAAATACATGGATAAAATAAAACAATATCATCTCCTAAACATTTTTTATGGTGAGGAATTTCCAGGTTGAGACCTGAAAGGAGAGAAATTGATGCTGCTAAGCCCAACATCTGGAAACTCTTTTGCCCATGGAGCATTTGATGATTTGGAAAAGGCAGCTGAGAAGTTGACCAGTGCTGTTGACAGCCTCAAAGGTCTGGAGAATAAGGGTAGGGGAGTCTGCAACCATCCTACATTTAGAATTGTTACCTCAAAGGTTTGCATCCTAGGAATAAGTTTGAACTGTAAATAAAGCAACCCTACTTCAAGTTATCTGGCTGGACTAGAAAAAACCCAGACCTTGAAATTCGATGAAGGTAGATGTGAACTAGTAATACCCTCAGGCACCAGACAGAAGCAAATGAAAATCTCTGGAGGAAGAAAATGTTATTTTATATAATCTACAACTACTTTTTAAAATACAATGTCCATCATATAATCAAACAATCAGACATGCCAAAAAGATAATTTTTTTTGCTCATGATAAAATGAACAAGATTGGCACAAACAAGAGAAAAAGATCCACAGGTACTCCTGACTTACCACACATCATGTAATTTAAAAACATCTGCAAGGAAGACAACAATAAGATACTACACACCTATTAAAATAGTTAAAATCCAAAAAGCAAACAATACAATTTTCAGTGAGAATGCAGAGCAACAGGAACTCATTCACTGCTGGTGGGAATGCAAAATGGTACAGCCACTTTGGAAAACAGTTTGGCACCTTCTTACACAGCTAAACACCTTACCATATGACCCAGCAATCGTGCTCCTAGGTATTTATCCACTTGGTTTATGTAGATAATCTGCTTTCAGTGTGGAGCATAACTTTCCATTCCATGTTTCTGGGTAGCACATAGAGCCTTTCTTACAATGAATACAGTACAGGGGTGTGTGGAGAAGCCTGACAAACACTACCTCAGCCAGAGTTAAAGTCAACAGTGCATGTTGCGATTATGCACCCTTCATATGATCTGATGAAAATGGCAGATTACCTCCGTGATCTTCCCCAAACTCATAACCTCACTCTAGTCGGAGGGAAATACCAGGTAAATCCCAACACACGAACATACAAAATACCTGGCCAGTATTCCTCAAAAGTAGTCAAAAATCATCAAAAACAAGGAAAGGCTAAGAAACTGTCACAACAAGAGGAGCCGAAGAAAATATGACAACTAAATGTAATGTAGTATCATGGAAAAGAAAAAACACATTCAATAAAAACTAAAGAGATCTGAATAAAGCTTGGGCTTAAGTTTGTTTAGCCTAGTCATTCAATTCAGTGAAATGCTCTTTAATTATGTGTGTGGTAATTTTCTTCCTTCTGCTTGCTTTTTCTCACTGGAACTCCTTTTAGTCAGATATTGAAATTCCTGAATGGATCCTTTAATTTTCTTAGCTCTCCTCTCTTTGAATTTTTCTTCTCTTAGAAAATTTATCAAACTTATTTTTTAAATTTCTATTGAATTTTTGTTTTGCCTATCATTTTTTAATTTCACACAGCATTTTTATGTCTTTTTTATAGTATCTTCTGTCCTATGATTCTTTTATATATATGGTATTTGAAAATATATAATTTACTTTTTAAAGGTCATATATAAAACATTAGTTTTTAGTATTACTTCGTAGCAGATGACTTTATTAAAGTCCCTTAGTCACTGTAATAATTTTGCCATTGATTTTTCCTGGATTTTCTAGGTAGATGATCTTTTTATCTTAAATAATGTAATTTCATTTCTCATCTATTAGCTAAAACTTCTGGCCAGGTATTTTGTGTGCGTGTGTGTGTGTGTGTGTGTGTGTGTGTGTGAGAGAGAGAGAGAGAGAGAGAGAAAGAAGGATTTTTTTTCTGTCACCTGGGTTATATAGTACAGTGGCATGATCATAGTTCTCTTCAACCTCAAACTCCTAGGCTCAAGCCATCCTCCTGCCTCAGCCTCCCGAGCTGGGACTATAGGAGTATGCCACTATGTTCAACTAATTTTTAAAAATTTTTTGTAAAAAAAAAAAAAAATTTTTTTTGTAGAGATGGGGTCTTGCTGTATTGCCCCAGGCCAGTCTTGAACTCGCAGCCTCAAGCAGTCCTCCTGCCTCAGCCTCCCACAGGCATGAGCCATTGTGCCTGGCCCTGTTTGAGGCAGGAGGATCTGTCTCAAAAAAAAAAAAAAATCCTATAGTACTTCATCGGGAAGAACAATGTTGGTATTTGATAGAAGATAGGTATTTTTAATTAATAAAGAATCCTGTTCCATATTATAATTTTTTAAGAATTCACAATAGGTATTGAATTTATCAAATGCCTTTTTTGCTATCAGGATTAGGATGCAGCTAACTGTTGTAACAATCCCCTAAATCTTGGTAGCTTAAGAAACTTATCATTCGTGTGACAGGTGCACATGTTCTTGAGGTAGTCTTCCAAATTCAAGCAACCTCCACTTCCAGCTTGTAGCTCTGTCATGTCTCTCACAGAGGAAGAGAGAGTAAATTACTGCACAGGAAAAAGTTTCATGGGCCAGAGTTGGAAGTGACACACAACATTTCCAGCTACATTCCATTTGCCAGAACTCAGGCACAAATCCATACCTAACAGCAAGGGAGGCTGAGAAATGTAGTCTAGATGTCTGCCTGGCAGGGAGAAGAAATTAAAATGGTTTAGTGAGCCACTGGCTAGCATTTCAATCTACTAATGTGTTAAATAACTTTCCTAATACAATGCCATCCTTTAGTTCTTGAACTACTTTACTGGATCATGATGTATCATTTAATGTACTGCTAGATTGTTAGTGCTTTATTTAGGATAAAAATTTACATTATGTCTACATATTCTAAATGATTTGTCCACCCTGGACATAATATTTGTGATCAATAAATGTGAATTTTAAAAGTATTTTCAATAGCAAACTTCAAAAGCATTATCTAATTCAAAAGAAAACAGCAGCCTGCTGTCTCAGAAGAGGTGACATTAATTTTCATAAGCATTACATAGCATTTTTCAACCAAGAAAGTTGACTTAAATTACATAATATATTTACATCTACAATAACAAGGTTGGCACGAGCCAAACCCAACAGCAGTGAAGTCTGCCACGAACTCTCACTTTGAAAGTCTGCTACAAACCCTCAACAGAATTTTATGGAATGCCTTTCTTCAAAAAGACGCAGAATGCCCATTAGAATCCATCACTGCTATGCGATTCATGGTTCTGAAGAGATCTTCCCTAAACTTTCCTGGTAAATCAGGACCAAAAATAGATCCTAATTGCTACCCATCATCAAAATCACAGCTTCAATGCTTCCTTACTCTCATCTTCTCAGAAATGGACCCTTGGTGTGCACTTCCAGGTACTACTGCTGGAAAGTTTTAACATTGCCAAGGCAGGCGCTGGTGCTCTCAGGAAATGAAAGGTGTAATTTGCAGTAACCACAAGAAGTCCCACTGTTACTTTTCTGCATGGAAAGCATAATCTTTAAATCGCCAATGCCCACACAGCACAAGTCACAGACTTAAATTCCAGATGGCAAAGGCTTAAATAGTGGCCTCTGTGATCTGTCAAGTGCAAAAGAAACAAACTTTCATTAACTCACAGTTGCAATGTGTCCACAAAAGGAGCAAGAAAAGATTAAAAGGCTAATCCAAAATTATCAAAGACATTGGGACCCGGAGCTAGGAGGCAGTGGGAAGTGCTGTAGTAAAGTTCATTATGAATATTACTGGAGGAGGGAACCAAAAGGGAGCAATGTGAAAAGAAATACAGTGAAGTGAAAGGAAGGAAAAACGTCTAGTGGTAAATACTACTTAGAAATAAAAATAAATGGAAAATTATTGCTAAGATGAGTAAATTTAGTAGCTCCATTCTGAGGTTTTTATTTTCCATCCCTAGAAGGAAAAAAGGGAAAAACCAGGAAACATTTTGAAGAGTAGGTTTTCTAATTTTCCACCATAAAAGGAAAATGTGAGGGAGGGTGAACCTATTTAAGTCTTGATAGAAACGTCTCTGCTTTTTGAATAAATTATTTTCCGAAAGCATGTCATAGTTCATCATTTATTAAATATATTAGACACACTTAAAATATTTCCTACTTATTTGTTTTCACTTACACTGTGTTTTAATATAACTAGTGTAAAGAGTCTGTTAAACCCTACATTTAATACCTATATTTATAAATATACTATTATACTATTACATTTAGAATATGTTGAGAGGAGAGACACAAAACCAATAGAGATTAAGAAAAAAATCTTCTAAAGTCAGAAGGAAATGAAATATATTAATATCTTCTTCATCTTTTTTCCAAAGTGCTAACTAGGGTAAAACTATCTAGTTTGTGAGCTTATTTCCTCTGGGGACTATTCCAGGATCTAATTAGTTTTGCTGCCAGGAAATACATAAATATGAGTATATACAGACTCTACACTATCTAGAAAAATTCACCAGCAAACTAAGAGCTTCCCTAGTGGTTTTAGTCCTTCCTAATGGCCAGTCCAGTGGCCCCCATGAAAACATTCATAAAACAGAAACCTCCAGGCCTGTAAACACAGTTGACCACTGGCAAAATCCCTGCTGGCATTTCCAGCCCCTTAACTGCCACCTCCATTAGTACAGACTCCATGCGAAAAAGAATGGCCCTCTGTGTTTCT